CACACACACACACACCAGTGAAAGCACACAACACAACTCGCACAGCCTGAGAAATGTGCTACTGTATGCCAACACACACTAATGTGTGTATGTAAATGACACGATAGCTGAGGTGAATTTGAACAGCAGAGTGTGTTCAAGGTCAGAGCTGTTTGCCAGTCTCAGTGTAAACACACAGAAACACAGCACTGTTTAATACTGGCCAAAAAAAAAATCCCTGAACCAATACACACACACACACACACACACACACACACACACACACACACACATTCAGACACTGAGGACGATGCAAATGTGCACAGCTGCTTTAAACTCTCTATATTAGGACAAATATACCATCAAATATGCTTAAACTCTGATTTACATCACAAGTGTACATCAGATTTTGTCTCCATAACATCTGTAATACCTGGACAATGGCGATGATAGAAGGTGCACTGTAACGCGCACTCACAGGCAGAACCTTCCAGTAAGAAACAAAACAACCCTGAGGGACACGCGAGTAAAAAGAAGCAGAGAGACGAAGAAGAAAAGAGAAAAACGGGAGCAGAATACCCTCTAATTAAGTCAACTGGAGATGGCGAGATCATGGTTTTTGTTTATGTTTGTTTTCTCTCAGAGACGTTGTTTATTTCTTATGATTAATAAGCAGATTCGCTTCTTTACTGGACTCGGTGCAGATGACACGCCCACCTTTGATGCAGCTTTTACAGTAAAGAGAAAACCGAAACTAAAGAAAAGAATCAAGTCAGGAACACGTGAAACAGGCGTGCGTGTATCATTCACGCAGAGGGGACATGAACAAGCATGTTCCTGTAATGTTACACTCCTGAGGTCACCAAATGGACCTTTAGTTTGAAATCACTTCCTGTAGGTGAGGACTTGGCTTAAGGCCCTTTGACGCGTTCTTCAGAACGTGCATGTTAGATACAAAGTGTCTATGTGAATGGCTGAATGAGGCATGTTGTGATTTCAGTTTATCTTAATAAAATGGAACTGAAGCTGAGGCCGGTGTCACCGTGCGGAGACGTCTTTGGGGAAGAAGCTAGACACTCCTGAACCTGAGACAGCATCAGGAGCGTCTCACCCGGGCTGAGGACACAAAGAGCTGGACTGATGCTCAGTGATCAGTGAGTGAAGTTTTTTTGGAAATCTCTGTCTGTGAAAGGTGTTTTCATCTTTTAGTGATTTCCTGTTTTATTTTGATAGTCTTC